AGCTATAAGCCACCTCTTCCTATGGAATATATTACCAAACACCATAGTGTTCTAAGTCTTAGCGTGCTGAGAGAAGTTATCCATAATGGCCTAGAACGAAGCGCCACCTTCCCATCTTATTCGAACAAAAATAGAAAACCTCGGTGGGTAAGCCAAGCGGCAAAGAAACAGAAAGGCGGGGAGCTTGGTGTATGGTGCGTCTTAAAACAAATGAGAAGAGGTCTGTGATTAGACTGGATCTTAGGAAGGTGTTGTATGAAGGAGTCCGGAAACTTGTCAAGACATGAGGAATTAACGAGGGCTCGATCCAAGCGTTGGAGTCTAGTTACCCGTCGTCAAGTAAACTTAGGTCCAACAAAATCGAGTTGAGAGAGGCCATTGTGACTAATAAACTAGAAGAAGAGAGGGCACCCACCACTACCACTAATAGCTTCGTCCTGTCTATCAAACCCCTCAATAATCGCATTAAAGTCCCCGACGAGTAGCCACTATTCTTGGATCGTACTATAAAGCTGATAGAGATAAGACCATAGGTAGCGACACTTCTGTGAATGGGGACTCCCATACACAGTAGTAAAGAGGACACTTGGCTCATTACCGTTATAATGAATTCGGGTATGGATAAACTGGACATTATTCACCAGGATCTCCACCCAAACCGGATCATTCCAAAGAAGTCAAAGACCCTCAGTGAAACCATGGGCTTCCACCCTATGAAAAAATTTGAACCAACAACCAATGATGCGATCCGTTTTCTCCCTTGAGATGCGCAGCTCCATTAAAGCAAGTATCAACGATCTGTATTGCAAACAAATGTTTGAAGAATGCGGCTGACTTTGGGATTAATTGTACCTTGATAATTCTAGGTGAGAATTCTTAAATCCATAAAAAAAACTTAACAAAAAGAGTAAAACCCTAACCCAAAACAAAATCAACAGTCCACAGTGGCCTGGCTGGCCTCTGTTTCGACCGCCTTCAGACTGTCGACCACGCTCAGTCTTGCGCGCGCACATCCCAGGAGCTCTGCCGTTGAAAGTGTCGAAGCATCCAAGGCTTCCTTGTGCCGCCTCTTTACCTTATGATCACGACGCGATGTTTTGCCCGAATGCCTGAGCACCGCCGATCCAGAGGTCAGACCATCCTCTGGGTGGAATATGAAGGGCTTCCAACGATTTGCTTTGAGTGCGGCTGTTACGGCCACCTCTAAGAACACTGCCCTAGGAAAGCCACAAAAGCCCCAGCTGACGAAGCCAATCGAGTAGAATGAATGAATCAGTCTGTGCTGTCCCAGCCAGCGGCAGAATGAGAAAAATTCAGACCTTGGATGTAGGTGACAAGGCAGGGATAGAGGAGCGACAAAAAAAGAAACGATTATGTGAAAAAGATATTGTCGAATATTCCCTGTCCGAGGCCAATATCACATATTCTTCTCTAATTTTGAAGCCGATGGCCTTATTCGCTGCCAGTTTTGCATTAGCAAGTTTATCTTTAAAGGACACCCGATCACTTTCCTAGTGCCTGTGAAGTCCCCTGTTTTGCTTCCCATCCTTCGATTCTGTCAAATTCATGTCACTATCCTCTTCCATATTCTCACCCAAGGTTGCAGCACAAATGTCATCTTCTGTTGATATCAGCCGGTCGTGACGTTCCCTTATTATCACCTTCTTGGTCGAACGATCATCATTCATATACGGCGACGCCGTGCCTTTGTCAAGTAGTGAAAAGTCATTCAGAGAGAGCATTTTATATGCAGAACTCTTTAATCTTTATGTATTACTTGTGTTAATCAATTTTTAATTCTATTATTTTAAAAAGCAACTTGTTATATCAATATTGATTTTCCCGTTTTCATATTCAAATATGATGATTCTATATCTGTTCAATTTTTTTTGTTTCTAAATTTGAGTTTATTAATTACATCTTTTATTATTGTATATGTTTCAAATATAATTGCATCAATTTTAATTTTAACACCTTTTTTTCTTTACTATAAATAGGAAAGAAAAAAATAATAAAACACCTAAAATCGAATGAGATGACCTCAAAAAGTATCATACCAGTCTAGGTATAATAAACAGTTGAGATCGTTAAGGGGCATGGGTTAAAGGAATGTATCCCGTAAGATAATCATGTGCCTACATAGCAAGACGACCAATAAAAAGATTACCTACATGTGTATGTGGAATATTTGGATCTCCCAATTTAATATGAGCATAACACTAAGTTGTATTTTCATATCAGTGGTGGGACTGTGATGATTATTAATTTGATTAAGAAGTTACATGATACAGAGGGAGTTAGTTTCAACAATGAGCTTAATAATATCATGGCTTCATGCAAACATGAGGTCATGGACAACCACATAAATCTCAATAGGCAACGAATGATTGTCATCAAATTATTCATAAAACCAACCACCTAATAGCACCCAAGTTAATACAAGCCGAACCATTCATATTGATTTTGAGCTACTTTGAGGATGGGACCCTCCAACTAACCTAAGAGAACATAATGGGATTAGCTTTAACATGTTGAATCTAAGACCTAAGATAAACCGTCTTGAACTCCAATGTAGATTGAACAATGCTAGAGCTGGATATAGTAGATAGGTTTTCTTTGTTATTAAAAATGTGTTCATTTCTTTTCTTCTAGATAGTTCAAGTAGCTATAGGAAAATTGCCTTCTAGCTTACAAGACCATGAGAAGTCAAATTTGGCCTATTAAGTTCCATTTGATCCACTTGTTAAAAGAAAAAGAAAAAAAAGTGTTAAAATAATGTATATCAATTAAATTACTTTACACCTATCTGACAAGGTGGCATTCCCAAATGGCATAAAGAGAGCTTTTTGTGTAGTTACGACATCTAGGACACTTTTCATCACGAACAATGTGGCAATACTTTTTTCCTCATTAATGAGCAAACAATCAGGCGCAAAAATTCACATAAACTGGTGAACATGTTTAGGTATACGTAGTGACCAAATGGCTTTCCACAGAAAATCCCTTAGAATGTCATAATATAAGGTCAAACTACTTTATCAGAGATATGTCTAGTCTAATTTTGATATGTTAACTGTCTTTTGTTTTATATATTTGAAATATTGATTATTTTTTAATTATATTATTATCAAACTTAAATGTGTTGGTTTTAATTTACGATATCTTTTATTCTTCTACCTTTGGATATTGATTTTATTTTATATTTTAAATGCTTCCAAAGTTATCTTATTTCTAATTTAGATCATTTTATTTCCAAATGTAGATGTGTTGATTTTTTTACATTTATGTTTTTTAATATAGGTTTTCCTTTTATCTATATTTCAATATTTTAAATTTATTTTTTCGAAGTTTTTGAATTATATTTCGGTTATATTATTTCCAAATTTATCTTATTTGAAGCTAATATTTAAAAAAAAAAAAAAAAAAACTTAGGTTTATTCATCACATATTAATTTTATTTTTTTAAATATGATAATTTTTAATTTCAGTTTAGTTCTCCGAATGTTAACATAGTTAGGTTTATATAAGAATCAAATTTTTAGAATTTATGTTACACAAAATTTAGAATTCATTTATTAATTTATACTTAAATTAATTAACAAAATATGAAGAAAATACAAATAAAATTAATTGCATATAAAATTTTACATGAAATTAAAAAATAAAAGACTTTTTAGAATTACCAATAGAGGGGTGAAATAGATTAAAAACACCATATACCTTTTTATTGCAAATTACAAAAAAGAAAAGGAGAGAGAAATCAAGAAATGATTGAAGATTATCAAAGAAGAATAACTTCTCCTTCACTAATTACTTCTTAAAACCCAAAATCAATTCCACCATTTCCTCCGGCATCCACTCCGCTCAAGTCTCCATTACCACCGCTGCCGTCTCTTAGTATTCCCTGAAAAATGCCTGGTTCAAGTTCAAGTTCAAGTTCCTGTGACCAAGTAACAGATCGGTTGGCTTAGCAGCACAAAACCCCACCTTGGTTGCATAATTAGAATTGGTCAGGTAAGTCACCGGAGGCTGAGCCACCAGTCTAGCTGGCATTGGCTAGTTCAAACCCACATGGGGCTGTACTGGAGGAAGTCTAGGCTCGGTTCTGCTACATGACAAATGAGCATCAAACCCACGTGCGCTGAACCTGTAAAGCCACTGCTGGGTCCCAAATCCCTGCAAACATCACAACAGAAGCACCTGCTCTGATAAGGAGGAGAGAATGTGAGTTGAAGCTGGTGATGATGAGAATGGTGGATCACAATCAATGGCATGGCTGCACGTAACGGTATGGAGATCAATTCCACACGTGCCACGATGGTAGGAGAATCCATTGCCTTTCTTGCCACAAACGTCACATTTGAACAATCCTTGTTCATATATTGGATTCGGAAGCAAGGACAGAACATGATCATGCGAATCAAAAGGGTGTTTGATTTGCTGAGGCAACTACGAACATGAGATATGGAGGTAGTCGCAGGTTTTGCAGATATACATTCATTCTTCTGTATAGATATTGAGCATGCAAGCTGAGCATGAAGGTGGTCAGCCTCCTAAAGTTTGGTGGGGTTGAAGATTTGAGAGGTGCAATTGATGGGGATGGCTGAAATGGTTAATTGCAGGTTCACATTGTCTAGGCATTAATCTTGACTTTTATTCGTTCTGCAACTTTGCTTTCCTGTTAAATCTGCTAAATGGGAACCAATTAAATCATATGGTCATACCTAGTTGTGAAGTAAAGTCGATGAATCTTGTACTATTTGGTGGTGGGTGTTGAAAATGTCAAAGTCAACTCACAGCTGCTTCTTACATCGCATGTGTGTGCGTATGTGTGTGTGTGTGTGTATATATGATATGCATACACACAGTAACACGGCAACTTAACAAGACAGATGAGAAGGAAAGTCAAAAGCAGAGAATAGTTAACCATATATGTTAAAAGTCTACTCCAATTATCTCTATTCAGAACAAGATTACACCAAGCAACAACTAACAATCCATGGAAAAACTAAGCATCAACTTGATACCATATATGTATATTTATACATATAGATAAGAAATGGGTTTATTAGAAATTCAACCACAGAGGCAGATAATAAATAAAAGCAGAAAGATTGATCAATGAATAGCATTTTAGCCATTGTCATCCACTGCAGCCGTCTGATATCAAAGAAGAAGATGAACTGATTATTCTTACTGTGAACTGGATGTGTTGGGCTCAGCTTTCAAATGCACAAAGTCAACCTGTGATTTCTTGCTGCACAAATCATGTTTTGATACACCAAGAGATTTCCATCACAAATCTCATCCTCAACACTCCATCTCCCTCTTCCTCTCCCTGCCTTACGGCCAAGCCATTTTCACCTGCAACACTTGCGACGATTATGGAACTTCATTTACCTATCACTGCTCCATCTGTGATTATGATCTTCATGTTGGCTGCACCACCATGCCTGAAACTTGCAAGGGTGAAGATCACGAGCACCAGCTTAAGCTCTTTTATTCTTCTTCTTCATCTTTCATGGGTGGTAATGACTCAGAGTTCAGCTTCAATGTCTGTGAGGGAGTTGTCACAGAGAACAACTGGGTTTACTACTGATCTGAACCAGACTGTGATTATGTCACTCATTTAGGTTGGGCAAAGACCATATCATTCCACCCTTCTCCTTCTTGACAGACGAGAAATTCCCGCATCAACATCTGAAGTTCCTGATAATTCATTCATTGTCCTGGAAGATGAAGAAGAAGAGGCTGCTCTTGAATTGAAATCTCTAGCAGTATCTGTTGTCTGGTTTTCAAGGGATACAACATTAGCAGGAATATCCACCGCGCTAGATGATGTAGCCAAAAGGGATACTGTAGAATCAATTGCAGCAGCAGTATCTCGAGTCAGGCTGTCTGGTTGAACAAAAGCAGGAAATTGAGAAGGTAACTGTCTATCAATGAGATGTGATGACACTTGATTACTTCTTCTCAAGTTATTACTATCAACAATTGCTTCAAGGTCGTCAACTAAACTCTCTGCAGAATCCATTGCAGAACTCAATGCAGATGAAAGTGAAGAGAAGGAAGCAGCTCTTTGCAATATAAGTCTTGAAATTCGAGGGGGAAGACGCCGCTGATTTCCCACCCTCTCTGTAGTGGGAAGTCTATTGCTTCTTCCGGACGTAGCATTCGCATCACCAGCATCAGGAGACTGATTTTGGTCACTCATCATACCAATTATACTTCTAAGTTGCAAGATTCTTTCTTCAATTGGAGGAAATACACGTTGCATGATGCGCTGTTGTCTTGCACTCTCAACCCTTTGTGCTTGAGGCCTTTGGGGGAACTCCGAGCAAGATTCATTCGACTTGGACTGGCAGTTATTGTCATTTCCTACATTCCCATATATTGGAATAATGCTCGCATCCGTCACCTCTCCATCACACACTGGGCACTCCTTCACATTAGAATAAGTACATGGAAACTGATAGAAGCATGGCCAACAAAACAAATGTCCACAAGATGTCAATACTGGATCTCTAGCCATTCTGAAGCATATATTACAGTCAAAGAAGCCACCACCAATATTCCTTCCATTCTTGCCATTTGCATCCACACCCAACGCCTTAGCTACCAAATCAGGACTATACCTTTTGGTAACTTTGGCATTCTCGCCAGGTCTTTCTTGGAAATTAGTGCCGCTGGCCTCAACAAGCAGGCTGCCATCACTGTGGGCATTAGCTGCAGCAGCCTCTAAAGAATTGTTCACTGGAAGATGTGACGTTTGGGCTTCTATCTGCCTCTCATGTTGCCTCATCCTGGATGTGACAGCTTCAGGTCGTCCAATACGCTCTTCAATGCAACCATTTGTTGTTTCTAACTCATGTAATGAAGACCCTCCCCTAAGCATAGAAACATTGGGAGACTCTATTTGTTCTTGGTTCAAATTAAGATCCATTATCTCTTCCCTGATATTGTTCTGAAAATAAGAAAAATATATCAGCTCAGTCAAAACAATCTATTTCTTTAAAAGAATCTGAATTAAAAAAAGCAGCCCTTTTCTACGGATAGATATAAAATTAGTGCGTTAAATGATATAGTTTCATGAGTGAAACACTAGATATGAAGTGAAGAACATTCCTCCGTTTGGCTGATGAGGAAACGGAGGCTAAATAAATGTTTGACCCCATGTTTTACATCTCAATTAGGGAACAGAAAAACTTCACTAATCAACTTAAGTGCTCATACATTTTTGTTATTATTTTTATCATTTTGCTAAACAATAAATCATTATAATGCTATTATGACGCAATGGAAGAAATAAAGTTCCATTTTTTCCTTCATTTCCACAGAAGCTCAGCAACAAATACTGCAAGCATCTGGAGGAACACCAGAACACATCTGAGAAATTTAATAGTGACTAAAGAAAATAAATATTTTAAGTCTAGACAAATTCAGCCAGCAAAAAATGAACTTAACTGGATGCTTTCAGTTAACTGAGAGACAGATTAGACCTATTGTATAACCAAGAATCAAAAAGTTGCTTCTGCTTCCTTTTAGTTCCCTATTATTTTCTGACCATCCAAACGGACTACTACCAGTTGCCTGGCAAAATTTTCACTTGGTTCTCTAGACATTTGGTTCCCACTTGTTTCTAATAGCTAAAATTTCTCCACAATAAAACACACTGTCCAAACATCTTCAAAACCTGAATTGCGATTACGAGACAAGCATTTCATCAGCGATTGAGTGAACATAAAACATGACAAGAAAATCAAATTAAGAGTACAAGATCAACAGAAACAGAACCATCCTATACCCAGAACTGAAAAAGTTCCAATCTTCGTTATTTCATCATTTAAAATGTTCTCAACAAGCAAACAAAGCCTAAACTGGAAGCACTTGTATCACATCAATCACACTCGCGAATGTTGGATTTAAGAAACGCAGTGCTATAAACATATAACAGAAAAGAAAGAGGCGGTTAACCTGATTGAAAGGGGTTGATTATATATCGGCGGAATGGTAGATCAAAAGTTTATCAACACTCGATTGCTGCTTCTTTCATCGTTGCTGTTTCTTCTACAAAGCAGAAAGAGATGCGATTTCATCACTTAAAATTTTCTCAACAAGCAAACAAAACCTAAACTGGAAGCACTTGTATCACACCAATCACACTCGAGAAATGTTGTATATAAGAAACGCAGTGCCCTGATTGAAAGGGGTTGATTATATATCGGCGGAACGGTAGATCAAAAGCTTATCGACACTCGATTGCTGCTTTTTCCATTGTTGCTGTTTCTTCTACAAAGCAGAAAGAGATGCGATTTCATCACTTAAAATTTTCTCAACAAGCAAACAAAACCTAAACTGGAAGCACTTGTATCACACCAATCACACTCGAGAAATGTTGTATATAAGAAACGCAGTGCCCTGATTGAAAGGGGTTGATTATATATCGGCGGAACGGTAGATCAAAAGCTTATCGACACTCGATTGCTGCTTTTTCCATTGTTGCTGTTTCTTCTACAAAGCAGAAAGAGATGCGATTTCATCACTTAAAATTTTCTCAACAAGCAAACAAAACCTAAACTGGAAGCACTTGAATCACACCAATCACACTCGAGAAATGTTGTATATAAGAAACGCAGTGCCCTGATTGAAAAGGGTTGATTATATATCGGCGGAATGGTAGATCAAAAGCTTATCGACACTCGATTGCTGCTTCTTCCATTGTTTCTGTTTCTTCTACAAAGCAGAAAGAGATGCGATTTCATCTTCAAATTTTCTCAACAAGCAAACAAAACCTAAACTGGAAGCACTTGTATACACCAATCACACTCGAGAAAGGTTGTATATAAGAAACGCAGTGCTCGAAACAGATAACAGAAAAGAAAGAGGCGATTAACCTGATTGAAGAGATTGATTATACATCGGCGGAATGGCAGATCAAAAGCTTATCGACACTCGATTGCTGCTTCTTCCATTGTTGCTGTTTCTTCCACGAAGCAGAAAGAGGTACGAGTCCGACACGAGAAGAAGGAACGTCAGTTTGATATATATATATATATATATATATACACACAGTTAATCTTTTGGGGGCTAATGGCTAATACGTCATAGTTTATTTTATTTATTTATTTTTTATATAAAATATTTATTTAATATTTATAAAATGTCCAGGTTTAAAATTAAACAAGAACTCAGTATATACTGATATACTTATATATATATATATAGAAGGAATACGAAAAGTTCACATATGACATTTTTTATTTATTAAATATTATATAGATATATATTATGGTTTTTTAATTAGAAAATTAAACATCATTTACATAATATCTAGAATATAAATTATTAAATTTTAATGGACCGTGTGAGTTTATATATTAATTTATTGTATATAAATAATTATTATTTTAATTAGACCTGTTTAAAAGTGATATATTAAGGTTAAAATGATATTAGATTTTAAGACATTTAAATAAAGTGTGAGACTTTTTATGTGTAAAAACTAATAATATAATTTTATGATACGTTAAATTAAAAATAATAAAAATTTAAAAAGATAAATAGACAATTATAATCTTCAAATCATATGTAAGGTTTTTTTTTTTCTTATTCTACCATTCCATCACCAAAGAAAAAATGTGTAAAAACTATACAGGATCATATATTGATTTGAAATATCTATCGCACGACATACAGATTTCTTCTGCTATGGATTCAGGTTCGTTTCCGTTTTATATATAATCACTTTGATTTAATATGAGTATACTAGTTTAGATTCGGAACTAATTTTATGACATCACTACATAAAAACATCATATTTAAAAGGAATCAAGAGACAAAAAAATATGTATCACATCATCTTTAGGCTTCACTATCCATTTAAGCAACAATAA